GCCTAGCCTAAAAATATTTTGTATTAGTAAATATATTGCTATTTATTTTATTTTAGAAATCTCAGTATGTTGTTGAGTCAATAAAAAATGGGCTGCTTTCTGAGACCAATTCTCCCAAAAAATCGGTATTATCAAGTCTGTCTATAAATTACTCATGAATGCTTCCTGCAGGTTAAAGTGTTAGTGGTTTTTATGTGATAGACAATACTATGCAAGAATCCACGATCATGTGAAGACCATGCATGACTGATCACTAGGAAGCAAAAGAAGTCATTTTTTAAAAACTAAATTGGAAATAATAGGAGGAGGTTAAACTAAACATTGATTGAAAACTCTTTTTTTGCCAAGGACTATGGTAAGTGCTACACATGCAGTACCTTATATAATCACCAACCCAAGAAGGTAGGAACAACTATTCTTCTGTTTATAAATGAGAAAACAGCCTCAGAGGTGAACTGATTTCCAGTGTCACACAGCCAGTAAGAGCAGAAGCAGGGACTGGAGCAACTGTTAGAAAAGGCAAAGACTGGAGGCTTCAGAGGTCAGAGGCCTCAGGTCTGAGAAAGCTGGAATGGAAGAAGAATGAGAGGACAAGGAGAACTCTGCCGCTCAGGTGACCTGGACCCCATCTCCCCACAGCCAGCTATCTTTCTTGCTCCCATTTGTAAGGCAACCCCAGTGTACAGCAGTGCTAGGGAGGGGTGCAGCAGGATAAGATGTGGTAGATTCTGTCTCCTAATGGCATTGGGGTAGCTCATTGGGAAAGGACAAGTAGGCTAACTGGTAAGAGGGAATGCAAGATCCCACTATTGTCACCAGTGAAGCAGCCTTTGGACCAGGCCCTAGCTGAAAGACCAGGATTTCATCCAGGTTACAAGAAGGCAGGGAGACATACAGGGAATGCCTGGCCCCTGCATCTGCTGGGACACACTAGCACTCCGACCACACAGTAGCCCCTACACAGACTTACAGACATAGAGATCAGGCTGGAACTCACTGATACAAACCAGGGGAGAAGGAAAGAGCCAGAGGCAGGAGCTAGTTTGAGGTGGCTTAAAGTCCCCAGAATTTTATCCTCTATCTATTCATCTTCTGTATATTTCCCCCAAGATTCAACTGCTCTTGAACACTCCTGCCAAGCAATGCGTCAGGCAGTCAGTAACCACATGAACAATTCTTCCTGATGTTTCGACACTGATGGCTCTCAGAAAGTTGGCAACTGTTTGGAAAATTGTATTTGTTTCTGAGATTTTAGATGTCTAATCTTTAAAAAAAAAACTGAAGTCCTAGAATTTCTAAAGTCTTATATTACCTAGTTTGAACTTGAGAAATTGTATGAAAGCAGTTTTAAAACTTATGTGAGACTCTGAGTAGGATATGGACATATTTTCAGAAGCTACCTAAACTTGCTAAAATTGATGTTTTATCACAGATAACTTTATATTGCTGTCTCAAGAAATTGATTATTAGATCATTAAGTGTTGTTTCTAACAACTAGATTTTTACCTGGGTTTAAAACAAAGTATGTGAGTAAATAGGAAAAACATGAAAAAATTTTGTTAATAACAAGATCTCTGAAAATATATATTATACCCTGTACTCAGCCTAGTAATTCGTGTGTTTTACATGATAAAATTCATAGTACTTTCTTATTAAGGGAATTAAAAATTAATTTGCTTCATAACTTTTTTCTCCTCCAAATTGAAAAACAGAAAAGTGGGAAAGCAGTTACCATGGCTATTAAAAGGAAATGGGATTTGCATTTCAGGTTGGTAAAATAATTAAGTAGTGAGGTTTGGTGGAGACCATATAGGTTTAGAAGCCAGACATGTCAATTCTGCTTTTGCCCCTACTCTGTACTGAGGGATAGTTCATTAAGTTCTTCGAGCCTCCTCAATTTCAGGAAAACAGGAATAACAAAAAAGATCTTAAAAGGATTAACAAGACAATGGCACATAGCAGTCATTCAATAATGATATTGATTATTATTATTAATGAATTGTAAGTGCCTTGTCCGCCAAAAGCAAAATGTAATTCCTTTGAATGAGAAGTAGTTAGGTTCCTGGACTAAAGTTGATTATAATTACTACAATGTAAATTAAACCATAGTCTGTTGAATTGCAGGGATTCTTTATCCCTATAACCTGTTCTAGTAGGACAGAAACAGTTTGGTATTTTTAGGTGACTGTAGAGTGTGAGATCAATGCCTCCTGAATGGAACTATTACACCTAAACTGAAAACATTGTGCAACACCCTCCAAGGAAGTCCCTTAACCACTCTCAAAAATGCTGGAGCTGGGAAGCCACTTTCATGCTAAATTTAAGAGACATTCTGATTTTGTTTTGGAAAAATCAGTTCATCAATATGTTTTCTTTCATGGCTATAAAAAGCATTTTAAAATGAAACAAAATAAAGTAGTAAAAAATCCTGGTATGTATTTTTCCCTTGGGGAATGAGGTACTCATTCAAGTACTCTTGGAAAAGATTATTTTGTGCTCTGGTCAAGGTGGCCTACTTTCTTTTTGTGTTAAAAGGATTTGAAATTAGAAGTTATTTGTATTTTCCCAGGGAGTGTCCACTTTAGGAAGAAAGAAAATTATATGCCTGAAGCACATGGTTGGCCAATTTATTGTTGTTTATGTCTGCGAGGTCAGAAAGGAAATACGTAGAATTCAAGTTTCTTTTTTGTTGTTGTTCCGGGAAGTATAGTGTTCCTTTTTGTTTTATGACAGACTAATATTTTTCCCATGTTTGAGAGCGTATGAAGATAATTTTTTGAGCATACCTTGCAATCTAGACCAAACCACATACATGCATAAGAAATGGAGGAAAGAAAAGTGTCTTTCCTGACAAGGTTTCAATAAACATATGAGTTTCTCCTCTTCTGAAAGATTGCTTAAACATATTTTAATTCCTCTAGAGCATTAATTCTTGAAAATTGTCTACAAAAATAAATGTTTCTTCTCTGTAGTTGTTTCAATTTCATATGAACTTGCTCTTGCATCTCAGCCACCTCGATTGCACCTCCTATTGCAGGAGATGTCATCAGGAAGAATGTGTAATCAAAATTATCCTTAGATCAAAATCAGTTTGCAGTGAACACATAAAATAAATTGGTTTGTAAAATGCAAATGGTAGAGTCAAACCTGGTGTTGACTTAATTATTTTATTCATTTGTGCTAGGTGCCCTCTCCTGGTCATAGCAAGTAACGTTTAGTAGCTTACTCTTTTCTAGATTGCGCTTTGCCAATAAATGTATGTGCAGCTGTATGTATACTCCATGCTAGGCTTTAAACGGGAGAGAGAAAAATCTGAAGACCAGTGGCTTTTAACTTTACCAGAGTAGGCTCTTACTTTCCTCCTACGCATTGATGCTTTCAGTCATCAAGCAATGTTTGATTAGCCTGGTGTGGTGGAGGTAATACTTTAACTGATATACTCCTCTTTTTCTTTATGACTTCACTATCAATCCAAAAATGTCCTGCAAATGGCCTGTATGTACGTGACAGAAATAACATGTGAAACAAGAATGCAGCCTGAAACCTGAGCAGCAGAGAGTGAACATCTTCCTTTTCTCCCCATCCTCAATCTCACCATTGCAGCATTAGTTTATCTAAGTCTCAGGAGCATCAAACAACAGAGAAAGGGTTGCACCAACATCATTGAGAGTTGAAACTGAAATAGATGTGAAATCACTGAATTTTACTCATTTTATCTTAAGTATTTAGCATAAAGTAGAATGGGGGTCCGAGAAGAAGAAATTTATTACTGAAAAATTGTATCTTGGCAAATCTGTTTAAAAACTGTGATTGAGGCCAGGCACAGTGGCTCACACCTGTAATCCCAGCACTTTCAGAGGATGAGGCAAGAGGATTTGTTGAGGCTAGGAGTGCAAGGCTGCAGTGAGCTATGATCATGCCACTGTATTTCAGCCTGGACTACAGAGCAAAACCCTGTAACAACAACAACAAAAAGCAACAAATGTTTCTGAATGATTGACTTAGGGACTCTCATGTCTAATTCATGTCTAATGGGCAACAGAAAAACACGATTGCAGAACACAGCTTACTGCTTTGCATGTCAGAGTTGGAGGTGACTAGAGATGTCCTCTAGCCCAGTTCCTTGCCTGGGATAATCTGCTTTGATAGATGAGATAAACATATTCCCCCAATTGAAAAAAAAATGAGCTCACTTTTTGTTATCTATAAAAGCAGTAGATTCCCCAAGTTCAGTGTTTCTTAGCTGCGATGCAAACCCACTGTGTGTCTCAAACATATAAACACATTGAGTCATGCTGGTGGGACTTGAGCAGGAAGAACCTCACGCTGCTTGCTGTGTTATGCTTAATAAAGTCCTGTGTTTCTGATCCAAGAGTCTACATTTTCATGTGAAATCATAACTGGCTGGCTCATTAGTTTCTAAGTAAAGTAAAATTCCAGACCTGACAATAGCCTCTCACAAGGTTGTAAGTATTTTTTTTTTTACTATACCATTCTATAATTAGTATTTTTACCTTCTTTACATGTTAGATACTAGGCCAATTCCAAAAGGTAATTAATTTATCTTATTGATCTATCCCACTTTGAAGATGGGCTATTTATAGAAATCAATACATTTAAAAATACTCAGAATATAAAAACACATTATTTCTAAAAACAGCAAATTTCTTAGCACAAAGCAAAACTCAGCAATATTTTCATAAGGGATGCTGTATGCTTTGAGCTGCTAACCAAGAAAATAAATAAAATCTGGCACAGATTTGATAATCGTCTGTTGGAGGGGAATGACAATAATATACATTTTCACTCAGTGCAGATAACCCTCCCGCACTGTCTCTGGTACAGAGGAGGTGCTTGATATTTGTTAAATGAATTAACAAACAGAAATTCCCTAAACTTTATTAACTCTATGATGATAAACCCAAAGTAATTTCTCCAATACCCTTAAACAAGATGATCATGATTAAAAGACAAATACTTGGATGGCTATGAAAAAGGGCTCATTATTTTCAGATTTATTTTAATTTTAATTGGATACATACGATCTTAATGATCTTTTATTTTACATTTTAAAATATGAGTTTGACACACAAGTATAATTATGGCTAAAGTAAAAAATAGAAAATGGAGAGAAAAGGGCTTTGTACTGTGGAAAATTTCAAGCATACATAAAAATAGAATCATATAATGAATCCCCGATTACCCACCACCAGGTTCAATAATTATCAAACACAGCCAATCTCATTTTATCCATACTTCCAACTCCTCCACCCATCCACTGAATTCTTTTGAAAAAAATTCATGATAGCATATTAGTTAATCTATAAATACTTGAGTAATAAACACATTTTTAATAAAAATAAAATTTCACACTAAGGATGGATGATTGTCATAAACTTAACATTTCTCATCAAATAGAAACATGACCAGAAATGTCATTTCACACTAAAAAGTACTTTTATGTCTTTGGTATGGTCAGCTTTAACCTGAGCTCAAAGCAGAGAGATATTTTAAAGTGTAATAAAGCTTCCTCCTTTTTCCAGCTTGCTTTACTTCAAATTTTTGTCATTGAATTTAGAATGTGTTAATGACTTAATGAGATCCAGGCTACTAATGGAAACAGCACCATTTCAACTTTAAAGTTTTCCATAAGAAGTGAGAATATTTTCTGATTACCTCCACTTTTATGGTAAAATTATTAATATTTGACTCCTAGTGATGGAAATTCTAAGAATACTTAGTATTATGTACTAAATTAGTCATACTGATTTTTTACAATTCATTATGATTTGTCAGTGGAAATCATTTCTGGGAGTTATGTTAGTATGCATATGCATTTTTGCACACATATATATACACATAAAATGCCTTAGAATTATAAGAAAATTCTATAGTTTGTTGTCACACACAGATATAGCTATACTTGCTAAAATGTTAAGATACATGAGGCCAAATAGCTGCTGTTCTAAGCCTTTGACTGTTTCTGCTACCCAGGCCATCTAGACCGCTCCATGGTCAGGCAACTAAAAGGTTGAAATTCAGCACAGTAGAGATGGATGGCTCACTTCCAGCATTAGGTAGCCTCCAATCTGATTGAAAGGTGCATGTATTAGTCGAGATCTCCAGAGAAACAGAACCAATAGGAGGATACGTGTGTGTGTGTGTGTGTGTGTGTGTAGGAGAGAGAGAGAGATTGCGATTTATCATAAGGAATTAGTTCATGCAATTGTGGAGGCTGAGAAGTCCTGAAATCTTTCCTCTGCAAACTGGAGACCCAGAAGAGCAGGGGGATGTAGTTCCAGTCCAAGTCTGAAGGCCTAGAAAACAGGAGAAACAATCATGTAAGTTCCAGTCTGAGTGTAGGAGAAGGTTGATGTCTCAGCTTGAAAACAGATTGAGCTAGCCAACTCTTCTTACTGGACACATTGTGCTCTATTCAAGCCCCCAACAGATTAGATGAGGCCAACTCACCCCGGGATGGGAAATCTGCTTTACTTAGTGTGATTCAAATGGTAATCTTTTCTGGAAACTCAGAAATAATAATAACTCAGACAAACACACTCAGAAATAATGTTTAACAAAATATCTGGGCATGTTATGGCCCAGTCAAGTTGACACATAAAATTAACCATCACATTGTCCCTGCTTTATTGATTAGTAAACATTTTGAAAAACCGCTTATTTAAAACACAGTATAAAACTAATCTTTTGAGTTGATAAAAGTTGGGTTAAATGGTGGCAGGAAAATAAGGAATAGATGCAGAAAAGCAGAATAGAACTAATTAAAAACCAGGCTAAAAGCTCTCTATGTGCATTAAAAAAACAGGACAACTCTATCTCTCAAAGCTAGAGAACCAGGTGGGAAACAAATAGACAACAAGTTGAATATCTCTTATTCAAAATGCTTAGGAGCAGAAGTGTTTCATATTTCAGATTTGTTCAGATTTTGGAATATTTGCATATATATATAATAAGACGTCTTGAGGATGAGACCCTTCTTAACATGAAATTCATTTGTTATTTAAGTTATTCATTTATGAAATTCATTTCATATTCATTATGAAATTCATATACCCTTTATTATATACATGGCCTTATCTATTGTGGTTTTATACAATATTTAAGTAATATTGAGTGAAACAAAGCTTGTATTAAATACTTAAGTGTAAAATTGTCCACTTGAGAAATCATGTCAGTGCTCAAAAAGTTTTGGATTTTGGATTTTCAGATGAGGGGTGCTCACCCTGTATAGAGACAAAAGTAACAAATCACATATGAAGAGTGCCTCATGAGCACCACAAAACGGGCGCATGAAAACCGAATGACTTTGTTAATAAAGGGTTCTTCTGGTGAGCTTTGTAAAAACTTGCTGTATAATGTAATGTGAATTTGCTGGGAATGGTTTTGTAATAAACTCTATTACCTTATGATCAATTCATCAACTTTCTGTAGCAACCAATATTTTCCATTCCAGCACACTGGTGCGCATGGCTTGCCGAATGTTCACTGTTGGCAGATTTTCTCCAGTCCGGCAAGCACCTACTAATTCAGATATATGTTGACCAATACCATAGTCAGCTGTGTTTGTTTCCACATCAATTTATGCCGGTTGTACTTACTTGAAATATGTAAACTGAAAATACATTACATAAATCAATAAACCATGAATTAAAAATTTTTTAAAGTTGCTTCTATGAATTAAGTGGAAAACTTATTCAAAATTAGATAGAGATGAGTAACTAAAAATTACCACTGAATTGCCGTGGATAATTAGTGTAAAAAATAGAGTGGAGAATCATCTTACTCTAGAATGACTTTACACCCAAATTACTTCACAAGTATCTCCAAGAGCTCAATCCACCTTAAATAAGTGGATTAAATAAAAATTATAAATTATAAATAATACACAATGAAGTAGTTCATTAAGAATAACAGCATGTGTTCAATCATTTGACCTAATGGCGTTAAATCAAAAGATTGGTAAACAAATGTTCATTCATTTGTATAATTTGTATAATGATGAATAAATGCATATTTTAGTTAAAATTAAAAAGGGAGACGTGCATTAAATTTTTTAAAGTAAATGTCTTAACTGATTTTTAATTAATAATTAAATTATTTATTAATAAATAAATAATTAATCAGGAATTAACTATAATTCCTGATTGTGTCAAGATTTCTACCTTATGTAATTTTAGAATCAATTAGAAGTTAAAAGTTAAGTATTACTTCTGTCATTTTTATATGTTCTTTAAAGACCTATATATAAGGCTAACAGAATAGAATAAGGGACTTGTATAAACCTGCTTTGCGTCTCCTTTTCATGTACACTATCCATGTTTGAAGTGAAGTCTAAACAAGGGTCTAATTCTCTTGTCCTCCCCTCTATGAAAGAAAGGGTGAGATGACCTGAATCAACAAAGCATTATTATCTGTGTTTATTTATTCCAGGAGATTCATATTCTACCCAAGGCAACAGCATCATTTCCCAAGAGAAAGGAGTAGCCTTGGTGCTCTAGGCTGGGACTCAGGGAGATCAGAGGCATTCGCATGAGGCTGAGGGACCAGGTTGTCCCCGGAGAATTATGCCTGGGGTGACTGCTGACACATAAGAATATGTGTTGCAGTGGTTGCTGGGGGCTTGGGTGAGGTGAGCTGGTAAAAAGTGTACAGCACAATTCAAATCTGCAAAAAAATAGTTTCTTTGTATCTGGAAACTGATCTCATCTTATCTTGGAAACCCCTTTCCTGTTGATAATAGCAGAAAAATAATAATTGCACTTGCCAATTAAAGGTAAATTATTCTCTTAGTTTTAATTTCTTAAGAGGATTAATTTTCACTTTCAAAATTTCTACTCCCTTTCTTTCTGTCCAAACTGACCTCTGGAAGAAGCAAATGCATTTTTATAGTATTTGGGGAGGCCAATCTCTTCCTCATGCCATCCTGTGGTCTTCAGCATTTGCTGAGATGCACTATCTTTCGTCCTTACTGGGTGAGATATGCAGATGTCTGCTGAGTTGTGGCTGGTCTTGTATGGACTAGTGCTGTGCAATTGTGCTGAATTTCACAGATCACTAACCATGGACTTCATCATTGCCTTTTTATGCATTAACTCCAGTACCACAGGTTTCTTTGTGGGGCTGGTCTGGTACCTCAGTGCCCCACAGGGAAGCCCAGAACATTTGCCTGCTACCCCACACTTTGATGCAGTGTGCAGGATTCTGTGAGAGCTCAAGGCCTCTATGTCAGTGATTGCTATGCTCTTCAGACACCAAGACCAAACAGACCATAGAGCTTTGCTAATGAGTGTAGTCTCACGGACTGGTTCTGTGGACACAGTCCATTAGCTCCAATGCCACTGAATTGTTCCTATTTTGTATCTTCCTACTCATCGTCACAGAGAATTTGGCACTAAGAGAAGAGCTAGGACACTTGCATATGACCTCTTACCAAACCTTTACCCTGTCTTGGCTCTGCTCCACATCCATTAGAAAAATCTTTTTGGAAGGAAACGGTGGCTCACACCTGTAATCCCAGCACTTTGGGAGGCCGAGGTGGGTGGATCATGAGGTCAGGAGTTCAAGATCAGCCTGACCAATGTGGTGAAACCCCGTCTCTACTAAAAATACAAAAATTAGCCGGGCGTGGTGGCATAGGCCTGCAGTTCCAGCTACTAGGGAAGCTAAGGCAGGAGAATCGCTTGAACCTGGGAGGTGGAGGTTGTAGTGAGCAGAGATCATACCTCTGCACTCCAGCCTGGTGACAGAGTGAGACTCAGTCAAAAATATATCTATATATTTTTTTTAATTTCTGTTAGATAAAGTATTTCCTTACAGCCTATCTTCACTTCTTTCTTTACTGTGGCTTATAATACTTATGTTCACACTCCCATGTTTTGTTCTTAATATATAAAGAAAAGTTTGGAATTTTTTTTAAGTTTTTGTTTCAACAGGGTCTGAATTTTAAAACTGTTGTTTCACAAAAGATTCAAAAAATCTGATTTTAGACTTATATCTGAGGAGTGGCATTTGTGATCCAGGGAATACACTATTTTCCTGAAATAATAAAACTCTGAGTCTAGCCTTAATTGTTGAAAAGAAATACGGGGAAGAGGAAAACTGGATTACTGTAAGGGAAAATGTATCAAATATTAAAATTCCCATTAGATACATTCTTCCCTGGTGAGATACAACCCACTGCCTTTTTCAAACCCTGTTGTTTCTATTTGGCTACACACTTGCCCAAAGATCTGCCTTGTTCTTATCCAAGGTATAGCAATAAAAAGTCCCTGGGAAATGGGGTTCCTGAATGAACTAGAAGGAAACTGAAAAAGTGAGTAATAACACCACAAGGTAGAGTCTATCCAATATGGGATATGACTGATGAATTCTGAAAGTATTACGTCTTGCACAAACGCTCTCATTCAAGGACTGGGAAAACAGGGCAGTTGGCCCTTTATGCTCAGTTCATCCCCTTCCTGATCCTACATATCTCTTTTAGGTGTCAAACATAAAGTAGCTTTAAGAACCTCTTCTTTGCTCATAAATCACAGACCTAAAGAAAGCAGTACCACAGAGGGGTGTTTTCTCATATAATATGTTAGCCATTTCACTGGGTCTTTTCCAAAGACAAATTGACAGATGCACTGGTGATCCAGCCTTCCCTCAAGTACAAATACCATGAAGCCAACAAGATGATGAAGAGCTTCTGCTTAGATATTGATTGCCTTATGGTTTTGAATCCTACCAGGACCCTATGATCAGTGACACTGTGTATATTACTGGTTTAAAAAACACAGTTAGTCGAGAATATCATTCTGTACATTGGCATTTGTAATATATAAGCTGAGTATAAAAAACTGCAAAACTTTACTACACACCTAGTAGAATAACTAGAATTAAAGGTATAATCACATCAATGTTGGCAAGGAAGTAGAGGGAATTTAGTTCTCATATACTGCTGTTGGCAATATAAAATGGAAATCACTTTGGAAAGCAATTTGGTAGCTTCTTATAAAGATTAACATACACCTACTATATGATTCTGCCTTTCCACTCCTAGGTATTTACCCAAGAGAAATATAAGCATATGCCAAAACACAGACTTATATACAAATATTAGCAGCCTCATTGGTAATAGGCAGTAATGGGAAGCAACCCCAAAATCTATCGAAGGTGATTGGATTAACCAATTTTGGTATACCCATACAATAGCATGCTATTCAACAATAAAAGCTACTAAAAAGTACTGAGTATAACATGGATGAATCTTAAAAACACTATGCTGAGTGAAAGAGGCCAAACAAAAAAGGTTACA